ATAAATTCTATAAAGTATATAACGTCCGTTTCGTTTAAAAGAGGGGGTCGTCCTAATCGGGAAGAAATCGTAGGCCCTAATTAGCCGATTCATTTAATCTAGTTAAGGCTCTAGTAGGTATAGGAGGAAATCTCCTAATAAGATAAGCTAGAATACCGGATAAGGGCGTCGATAGCTATACGGTCGTTTATAGTTACGTATTAAATACCTATTTTATAGAAGGTACGGAGTGAAATACGGTAGTAAGGGGGGGGGGTATAAAGGAGGGGAAGTTAGGAAAAGATAGAAGTCACGAAAATTATAGATTTTATACCTTCCCTACTTATAGGGATTATTATAGGGGCCTAGATACCTAACCAGGGTGCGAAACTTTCCGCAGGCACCAAGTACATCTAGGCCATGTCCACGACTGACCCGGGGCTGCACAGGAAAAGGAAGAGGACGCAAGGGAGAGAGCGAGATCCCAGCGGCTCCACACGCGACGGAACAAGCATTGCTGTCAGGTCCCTCCCTTATCTGGTGGTCCCTGTGGACGGCCGCATCGCGGGGTCGTGTTTGCCGTTCCCCTTGCATGCTCTGGGCCCCGGGGCCGCGACTCGTCGTGTCTCCTAATAAGAGAGCTCGTATAGGGCTCGTCGGCGTGTTTTCCAGGCATGATCCCAACGTACAGTACATGTATGCCTGCGACACATGGAGACACGGACTCACCCATGGATTGGTCGTCAGGAAATTGCTCGTGGAAGCGAAATCTGCCGTGTGGCTGCATGAACCGCGCGACGCCACAGGCCAAAAGCGCGCCATGCCGAGCGGCGGCTCAGGGGGTCGAGATCGACGAAACGCGTGAGGCGAGAGAGAAGACGGGGCCAACTTGTCGGGGGTCCGGCACGTTGGGTGAGCAGAAAGCAGCGCAGTCGAATGGAAATTCGGTGCGTGGCGCGGGTCGCGAAGAATACCCAAGGTACCTACCTAAGGTAAGGTACCGAGGTAGGTAGGTAGGCAGCGGCATTTCCGGACGGTCGCAGAGATTTGTGTGTTGCGCAGGCGCTGGGAGGAGAGGAGGAGAGGGGGAGAGGAGCAGAGAGCAGAGTAGCAGAGTAGCAGAGACAAGATGGACATGGGGTCAGAGCGCGACGCAGACTCCCTGTGGCTTCACCCGACGGCCAGACGGCATGACGAGCAAGACACTGGAGAGGGAGGCCAGGAGAGAGGCCAGGAGAGAGGCCAGGAGAGAGGCCAGAGGAGAGCCCGAGGCATCAGATTACATGGTGCTGTAGGCAGGCAGCGTAGAATTGGCCAACAATGGATCCACCCTGTACGAGATTTTCCTTTTCGCTCCCCTAACTCTAACTCTTTCGGTCCCTACCTCTAACTCCTTCGGTCCCTACCTCTAACTATTTCGGTCCCTACCTCTAACTCTTTCGGTCCCTACCTCTAACTCTCGCGGTCCCCTAGCTCCAACTCGTTTCGTCCTACGGTAAAGTTTGGCCTTTTTGGGCACCATTGCAGGCGCCCATGTTTGTTGCTCTCCCCCTTTTTCTGTTTTCCATGGCATTCATTTTGAGGTGCATCGCCATGGTGCGAATCCCCTCACTCTGTGGCTGCCCGCCAGCCTTGGCCATCATCGCCTTGCGCTGCGCTGACCAGCCTCACGATCCCGATGCCACCCGCCCGCCACGATACCCCCACTCCACTCGCCGAGGGGCTAGCCACGGAGTTCGGCCCCTTGGCCCCTGATCGAGTGAAGGTGGCCCCCCTCCCCCTGATCGAGTAAAGGTCGGCGTGTCGAAGGGTCGAAGGGGGGGGGGGGGGCGAGCGGCCCAAGACGCCAGCCCGAAAGCTTAGCACACCAGATTCAACGTGACATATGCAGGCCACATCCCATCCTCCTGGCGCTGGCGTCTCGCCGATTGGCCGATGACCCATGCTTTCGCCAGCGACCCATGCTCTCGCCAGCAGACCCTACGTCCGTACCATGTCCTATGTACCATGCAGCCGTAGATCGTGTTTCCAGCTGCGAAAAAAAATGCTGTTATCGGGCTAGCGCTCAGAACGGGAGGGGCCAAGGGGGGCCTGTTGTGTGGTGGTTTCTGGGAACGGGTGCTCCCCTTTTCCAGCGTGCTTTGGAATGCTCGACCCCCCCTATATCGTTAGCCTCGCTGTCGACCTATTTCTGGATGCAGCTGGGCGCCGGCCAAGAGCTGGCCGCCTGGACGTGGACGCGGACGGGTTGTGTTGCTCCCTGTGTGGCCTCCTCGATCATTGGCCTCGTTCTCTTTTTTGAGTTGGGCTAGCTCGCGTAGGTACCTACAGTACATTCACATGTACATGGTCCTCATAGGTACCTAGGTCCCTTCCTTAGGTACCTTAGGTACCTCAAGGTAGGTACCTTAAGGTAGGTACCAAGGTACATGTAAGGTAGGCAGGTACGTTACGGCGTCCCTCTCACGGCCCTCAACGTTTTTGGCTTCACTTTTATTTTTCCCCTCTCTCTCTGCGATCTGATTCTGGCTTCTCCATTCATCCGCCGTTGCATCTGGCCTTTGACCTACTTCACCATCTGCCACTGCGACTTGTCACCCACATTGCTCCATTGCTCGCCATCACCTCCCATCATCCATCATGGGCCTCGCGTCCCCGGCCTCCATGTACCACCAGATGCGTGTGCGCGGCCTGCAAAGGCCCGCCACCATCTCCGTCATCTTCGGCGCCGTCCTCGCCTTCGTCTACGTCCTGCTGCAGTCCTCGGCGCCCTGGAACCTGACCTCGTCACATCCACGGTATTGTCAATCTCCGCTGCCTCCGCCCTCGCTTTGCCATACCGTGCCTCTTCTGACAGCTCTCCAGGTTAGGCAAGGAGTACAAGATCCCCGTCCGCCAGATCGAGGGCCTCGCCGACGCCATCGCCGACATGTGGCGCCCGCTCGCCCTCGACATCCACGCCGACAACTTCACGGCCTGGCTCTGGGGCGACCGCGGCACGCCGTACGTCATGCCCGCCAAGGCCAAGCGCCACTGGACCGCGCCCCTCGGCAAGGACGTGCTCATCCTCGACGTCGACACGCGCCCGCTCGAGCAGATGCGCTCCAAGGGCCGCGTCCAGAGCGACTTTCGCGCCCTGTTCGAGGACGACCAGCTGACGCCGCGCTTTGCCGGCATGCTGAACCACTACATCTACGGTATGTTGCCGAGTCAATGACTTGAGGATATGACTTGAGGATCTTTCTTGATCTTTCTGACCGTCCCAGCTCGGATCCACGGCTACGACTACAAGTTCATCCACGCCTCGGAGCTCGCCGACCGCCACCAGACGTGGGTCAAGGTGCCGGCCATCAAGGAGGCCCTGCTCAAGTACAAGTTTGTCGTCTTCGCCGACGCCGACGCCCTCTTCAACCAGCCCGACGTGCCCCTCGAGTGGATGCTCAACTACTGGAACGTCCACCCCAAGACGCTCGTCGCCATGGCCGAGGACCCCAACTCGCCCACGAACCAGGACCCCAAGGGCTGGGTGCTCTGGAACACGGGCTTCATCGTCGCCCAGCAGGGCGAGCGCACCCAGGAGCTCTTCCGCCAGTGGGACGACTGCCCCGCCGGCCGCCAGTTCCCCGACTGCAAGCGCTGGGCCCACGACTGGGCCCACGAGCAGGCCGCCTTCGGCCACCACCTGCGCTACGCCTGGAACAAGACGGACGACCTGCGCGCCATCGCCTGCATGGACGCCAACGGCGCCCACCACTGCGGCGACCGCAAGTGCCTCGGCATCTACGTCTCCCACCACTGGGGCAAGAAGGACGAGCCCATCCAGGACCTGTGGCGCCTCGTCACCCGCGCCGTCACGCGCTACGCCCGCCAGGACCGCCCTGATCTCATCTTCAAGGCCTTTATCAACCCCATCCGCCCGCCGCCCAACTGGGCCTTTTACGATGAAATGTTACGATTCGACGAGGCGTAGGTGGCCTTTTTGCGGTCGCTGCCTCTTTGGTTGCACTGGCGCTCGGCACGGTATGGTGGTGCGGATTTGGTGTTTTGCGGAGTATAGACGGCAGCGTGTTTTACGACTTTTTCCTTTCCCGGGCATTATGGGTGTATGGGACCCTATTTCTTTACACAACAACAACAACAACAACAACAAACATCACAAGCCTTGTAATTTCCGATTCAGCCTGCTTTCCCCCCGAACTTGGATACAGCTCGTTTCCTAACGCCTGTACTACTACACGACGGCATCGAGGAGAGGTCTCCTTTCCGAAAAGACATGGGCGGGAACTCGTACCTTGACGGGTTTGAAATGTCTTTTGGTGCGAAGAAATGCGTCGACTATCATGTCGCCAGCGAAACCACTTGGAAATAGAGGTCTCGCCTCCAAAGAAGAAAAGTTTAAGTCCCGATCGGCCTGACGGCCAGACCTGGGCGAGATGCACAGCGTTCAGATGTCATGCTTCCCGCCACCGACGATGCGATACTCTATTCACTACCAGCATTATCACACGGCCCAAGAACCGGCCCAAGAACCGGCCCAAGAACCGGCCCAAGAACCGGCGTCTCCCTTGTGTTGACAGACGACATGCCCAGCTCAGCTGTTGTTCGGGGCGAGCATTGTCCGAACCATGCCTTACGAGAGTGCCGTTCCTCGCTATTGGGCATCAACCGAAACAAACAATGCACACGTTGCAACATCTTTCGCATAAGGTTCATGGCACAAGGTTTGGCTACTGGGTCCTCATTCCCATCGTGCCCGAGTCAGCATTCCCAATGCTCCGCCCCAATCATGAGCGGCGACCGGGCGACGCGGCAGTCTTCAGCGGCACCCATCAGACTCGGCAAATCCCTGACCTGGGGACGGGCATTGTCGTGCCACATGCCGTCACGGCTGTGCGTGCCACTCGGATTGAGGAATGCCGGCAATACAGACACATCCTGCCAATCGAATGCCGCCAAGGAGGACAATACGCAGCGGCGTTTCGCGCCCTGTATTTCCTGTCTCTATCAGGCATTGCGCCAATCTAGCGACGCCTTGCACGCGGCAACCAAACGCCCGCCCGTCCACGATATACCAAAATAGGTAGTTGAGCCCAAAAAATAACCATCTTGATGCCATCTTGTCCTCGCGTCCTTCGTGATCGTACCTCATTGTCATTCGCCTGCTCGCTCACATCCACAGCCAAACCCACAACCCCTACGACAACCCAATACCAGCACTCATCGCAGGATCCCAGGCCCCCCAGACATCCAGCCCCGACCTCGCCCCGCGCCCACGCCACGCCCTCTTGCGCCGCCGGCAGAAACGCCAGCTCCGTCTCAGGCAGCGCCTCAGACAGCTCGGCCACGAGACACGCCCCGACGCCGGCCGCCCACCAGCACCGCAGCCCCATCCTGTGCAGCAGCACGCCCCAGTGCATGACGACCAGCAGCGCCAGGGGCTCGCCGCCGCCGACGGCCGCCGCGAACCC